GCTTTGATTTCTGATCTGAATATGCGTGAAAGGTTACCCCAGACTGTACGGTCCTAAAAACAAAATGTTGACCTCCTGGGTCCTTTTAGGCTAATGACCTACTCTGACCTGTAAGAAGTTAATGGAAGATGTCTGTTGCCGTCACTGTCATAAGTTATCTCGAAATGAGCTTCAGGTACTATCATATACAGCCAAATCTCGAGCAAACATACAGGTTGACTTTTACTTCGGCCTGACCTTCATACCTGACTCAAGTTCAATACAATTGGTTGTGATGTTAAACTCAGTTGTTTTATTGCCCAAGAAACTACTTCAGAAATGTATCGATTTATCTAACACTCCGTTGTCGCATCAGTTTGAACGATTACCTACAAGTTGCCTCCGCTGACAGCCACGGCCTAACTTTGACCTACCATTGGTCAAATTGATTCTTAATATATTACGAATGTTGCAATATTTTTATAAGATTTAGCTCAGTTTTAAGACTTAATTTCAATGTTAACAAATGGTGGACCTCCAGGACGGATAAGAGTAAAATGGGCTTTAAGCTAGAGCTTACCTGACCACTAGTCCACGCATGCGGCAGCACTCACGGGCCTTGGCACACGCAAATTGTCGTCCAGTGCTAATCCACATTTTTGCAAGATGTCTTAACCAGTCCATTTTAATGCGTAATGTGCGTTTTAATGCCATCCGCAGAACGATCCAGTGGGCACCTTCCTGCGAGGGGAGACTTGCACTGCTTTATTTCATTACCCTTTTATTTCGCGGAAGCCAGAAATAGAATCTTACAGCGTGACTTGCGTAGAGGAAGAGCAGTTCTGCTAGAACCCGAGCGTTTGGTTTTCAGCTAAGATTGCAAGGGAATGCTCCACATTTTAAGATGTTGAAGCAGGCAAAGGCATCTAATATCACTAGATCGGAGACTGCCGCGGCTCCTCAAAGTTTATCTGGCAACCCCGTCGTGACGTCACTACGGGGTGCCTGGGCAAGCCACAGCATTGTAGGCCCATAGGAAAGGGCCTTTTTCAGAGACAGCCTTTGAGTAGATTGAGAAGTTACAGACGTCTGAAACGCTTTTGACATCAGGCAAAACGTGCGTTTTCTCGTAGGCCAGGTGTGCTTTTGAAGCTCATTGCCTTAGCTTTGAATTGCAAATCACTTTGAACAGGCGTTGCAACGCCAACGTAGGTGTCGTCACTGATACCAAATCCTGGTTTATAGATGACGCTTGTGTTTTTCGTGGACTCATGATACTTATCCGGTTTTCCCAGATACTTACATCTCGCTTCTCGAAGCGTTCTGCGTCTGGAATGCAAGCTGTGCTTGCGGGGTTTAAAATATCTTAACATCTTGCAAGCGAATGCCTTTCCTTTTTGTTCGGTCACCGGGGCTTATCGTTGGCCTTATTGTCTACCATTTTAGTCTAAATGTTTCAAAACATTCTGTCACTGTACTGGTTACCTAGACTACCATATGCAGAAAGGTCACAATCGCGAGCAAGCTAATAATTTCAGTGCATATTTTGCGATGTATCGGATATAAAGCATATGCGAAAAAGAAATACGATACCGATACAAAACGGGATACCAGTTAATGATATATTTACAAAATGCCGGTGACGGAGGAAGCAGTAATAATACCAGAAGGGTCGCAGCAGTGCACAAGCAAGGTGTCGTGCTGTCCGCATAGAGACACACAGAGATGCACCAGAGCCTCTGCGTCCAGGCCAACTGTTAGTAGCACGATGTTGCCGGGAAAGTGTCGTTTGCCTTCTACGCGTCAGGACCACGCGTCCCGGAAACGCCCTCACCAAATCCAGGAAGCGTGCCGGGATGTGGAACCTGATCAGTCGCCCCCCCCCCCCCCCTCCATCCAACCAGTAGAACAGTGAGGAGCTAGGTCGGTCGGCCCGAAACTGCCGCTGCTGGCGAAAAGGGTACGCATTAATTATACAGCGGCGGCGCTTCTTTTCAGACACTTCGGACACCACATAACCAGTCTTGAAGCTTGGTATAACATTTTTTCAAAAAAAATCATTATTTCAGATGGTAAACAAACGTCGTTTTTACGCTACATTTTAAATTGATGTAATATCCTGCACTCATCTGGACTCAGGCAAACATCGACATTTGCGCTAGGCGCTGAAATTTTGATGATAGCAGGAACATCCATGATAATAATTCGGCAGCATTTTACTTTTAGTTACTCCAATAGAAGCATGACTTGGACAGCGCGCCGAGAACTTTGCCGTTGTGGCAAGCCTGACCATGTCCATATGCCCATATATTTCGTAACTTTCCACAAGATCCAGTGGCTCTTTAGAAGTTACACGTCATCATTGATAACAACGGGCATAAAAGAGACAATGTGAAACCTAGTAAAAATAGCCTAACACATCACACATCGGTCAAGGGATCATCTCGGTGAATCACACTGTTGCATTCACATTGTGGCATCACACACAATCGAACTCACACACGCACCCATTTATGTGCCAACATTCGCCTCACTCAGTAGAAACTCCATAAGTTGGCGCTTGAAGCGGCCTAGACTCTGAACATTGCGCAAGTCGGGCGGCAGGCAGTTAAACAAATCCGATGCTCGGTAGGTAAATCGGCGAGTGCCAGAGTTGCTCGCCGCTCGGGGGCGCCTCAGCTGGTTAACCTGTCGCGTTTCATGAGTGTGCTCAGCACGTGTGAACATCGCGGCTATATCTGGTGGCTGGCTCGTGAGTAAGACTTTTTTGAGCGGGCACAACATATGATATCTGACGAGCAGATCAGCACTAAGCCATCGTAGATCCGTGACAACATCCGATATATGGTCACACCTTCTCCCTCCGCTCACAACCCGCGCACAGAAGTTCACGAGTTTTTGCACGCGATGGAGCTAGCTGGCTCCGAGAGTACCATGCAGTGTTATACAGTATCTAATGGAGGAAAGAATTAGAGCTCCGACAATGCGAACGAGGGTGTCTCTTGGGAGTACATGCTTGACATGGGACAGGGCCATCAGAGCGCCCGTCGACCTGGCAACAAGCTGATCTATGTGCAGTACAAATGTGAGGTTTCTGGCCATCACCACACCAAGGTTTTTAACAGTACTGCTTTCAGTGATGACAGCTGACCCGAACTTGACATGTACAGGAGGCATATGACGCCAAATAATGTTCACACCCATGATAAACATCCATGATAATAATTCGGCAACATTTCACTTTTAATTACTCCATTAGAAGCATGACTTGGCAGCGCACCGAGAACTTGGCCGTTGTGGCAAGCCTGACCCAGCCTAGGCCAAGTTTTGGGACGCCTGTCAAACCAGCAGCAGTTTGGTATCAAGCTGTACATCAATATGCAGGACTCTCACGATCCAGCTAACAAGTGGCAGGCTAACAGCGTTAAGCCTGCGCGTTTCAAAACCTTAAAAGGTATGGTGAGCATGCGCAACCACCCGGAACATTTTAGGTTGAAGTTCAAGGTCAATCAGAACAAACCGTTTCGTCGGAGTTCAGAATGTGTACTTTTAGACGAGTGCCCAAGCTTTTAAAAACGTTGTGTTTGGGCACATAGCATCTTGCGACGTTCTGTATGTCCAACTTTTCGTGGTTCGAGATGCATGGGCCAAGTTTTTATTAGTCTGCCGATGTTTAGCTAAATCGTGACAGTCATGAATATTGATCGACGGTCGGATGTAAATATCTGCTGGCTTGGCAAGTGTAATTTGGGGGCTAAAAGAATCGCTGAGGGCCATGATTCCACCAGCATCTTGTCCAACCATTGTCATTTTAAGCCCAGTCATTTGGCATCATCAAACGAATTTGAGACTGGCGCTTGTCAGTATTGTTGGCGTCTATACCAGTGATCAGGGTACACCAGTCATATGTCTGGACGCCAATCGAGAGTTTAACCCTCGCCCTGACTCACCGCTGACAAGCTGCTGTTATGCTACACACCCATGCCCAAATTTCTATGTTTGTATATACCGGCGGCTTTTTTGCAAGCGTCCGATGAACACCCCAATCCCAACAAGTTTCCATAGGGATACTGGCAGCAAGCACACATTGACAAGTATAGTGATGTGTTACGGCGAGTCCTTCATGGTGTCCCACATATGTATGGGGTTTTGAACTAAAATGGCCATCCTGAAGACCATTTGGTGTAATTTACAGCCCTGCCAGTCTTAAGACCTAAAACCCTTATTTTCCGGGCTAAACGCCCGCGAAGATGGACCAGTCCACTGGCAATGTGGCGTTCAAGACCAGGAAATGCTGAACTGTTGAGTCATTCACATCCGGCGTTCGTGAGGAGGATTCCCAGATATGACGGCCGTCAGTTGGCTCTTAACCAATGTTGCGCAAGCTACGCAAGATTCCAACACGAATCACGTCGTGTACTACATAAGATAAGAGCTATACTTATCACTGAAACCAGACTCGTAATCGAATTGCTTACGAATGGCGCTATAACTGAGAATGCGTGTACAATTAAACATCTTGAAGTCATGGACAAATATGCAAGAACACCACACGAAAAGGTGAAAACACGAGTACGCAATACGCAGCATTGGATTCTTCGGCGAGAAACCACGGTGTTGGGCGTAGTTTGAGGGAATGTTTAAACGTACTATGCTCACTATTATATGTTACAAAACTACACCCCTGGTGACAGACTGTTTGGGCAGCATGGCAACTGGTATCTTGTTAATAATTGGTGCCTACAGTCTTGGGTTGAAGTTATAGCAGCTTTATTTCAGAGCTCTGTAGGTTTCCACGGTGCAGTAGGCGAACCAAACTTCGAGCACACCACAATCTGTGACGCCAAGCTCTGTACTACGTTGCAACTGGCATGTTGCTGAATGTGAATGTTCCCGTCTTGATTTAGAGTTTACGAAGCGTTATTTTAGGGCCTTCGTGGGTTTACACCGTGCAGTAGGTTAAGCCAAACTTCTTAAACACGACGTGCTGTCAAGCCATATACTTGGTGGTCTTGATTATGTTAGTGCGAGATCCTGCTCACCAGCCTGGCCCGTTTGGCATCGCCTGCATTCGATGCTGTCCCCGACGTACTCTTTGTCGTTTGAAACAGTTTCTGAATCTGTTCCAGCGAAAGATCCTTCGTTTCAGGAAGGCAAAACGTGGCGAAGACAATCTGTGAAACACTAACCAATAGATGGATAATGAAGACACCCCCGAGGCCAATTGAACTAACGAGCATGGGAAACACCTTGAAGAAAATAAAGAGGTCTATATACATTGTGCCCATTGTGACATTGGCGCACAAGGTTCGTGTGCGATTCGGGAGCAGTTCGTTAACGTAGGTGTAAGCGATGGGCAAAACAATGCACGAAAATGTGAGCTGCAAGAGCACGGCGCCCAGCAGCGCTAGCCAGCCCTGCGTCAGCTGCAGCGCCTCGGGCAAGTAGGAAAAGCTGACGATCGCGGTACATCCTAGCGCGGAGATCGCGCCACTGACGCGCAGCAGTGGCAAACGGCCAAAACGCTCGATGACGAAGCTGGTCGGCAGGCACAATATGGCAGACAGAGCCGCCGGCATCACTGCCCTCTGGTACTCGTCCAGAGGCAGGTTCACACTATTCAAGACAAGCGGTAGGATGGCAGCGATCGCCATGCCGCCACTCCAGACGTACATAAACAGTTCGACCGTGATAAGTAACAAAGGCCACAGCGTCTCCCGTCGCAGAATCAGCTGGCGCATGGGGAGGGAGACGCCGTCGACATGGGTTTGCTTAAGGGAGGCTTGAATGCTGTGGACTTCCGCTTCGGCATCGGCATCCTTTCCGTGGAAGAAATGGACCGCGCGCAGGGCCTCCTCCTCCGGGTGTCCGTGCGACAGCAGCCACTTGGGCGAGTTGGGGATGAAGTACACCGCTGATAGGCATACAACAGGGGGAACAAAGCCCGCGATGGCGAACATGGTCCGCCAGTGCACGTAACGAGCGATGCCAACGCTGAACGCCTGGCTGGCAAACACGATCCCATTCAAGAGGGCCGTGTACAGTGTGCGCCTGTTTGGGGGCACGATCTCAGACACGTAGGCCCGCGCGGTGCCCTCTGACATCCCGATCGAGATGCACATGAGACCCCTTCCCAACACCACCCAGCCAAAGTGCTTTCCAAGGCTGGCCGAGAGCGAGCCTAGCGCGTGGATGGGCTGCGTCAGCATCAGCAGTCTCCTGGCCCCGAGCGCTGGGGCGACGGGCAAGGCCAGGCAGGCGCCGATCCAGGCTGCCAGGGCCGTCAGCGCGATGGTCCAGTTGAGCTGGTCTTCGTCCATGAAGCGGTCCTCGTCCT